CTTCACCATTCTTTACCCCTGCAGTTCGTGGATTTGCGTCGACACGTGTTGCTGGGGGTAGCATTCCCAAGCGCCCTGCGATGCATGACGCTGGATGGTAAGTGGGTGTAGCGGAGTGTTCTCCCAGACCGACAGACGTGGGGCCCTCGCTGCCATGAGTCATCTCCAGCCAGGCTTCCCGGGCCTGTTCGGCGCCAGGCTTCTTCCAGGTGCGGCCACTCCGCATCCAGCGGTTCGGTCTGATCGCGCGAGGCGGGCCGTCCTACGCCTTTCACGGCAGCGACATGGGACAGGGATGTTTCACGTGATGTTTCCGAGCTCGCTGCGGTAGGGTCCAACCGCCGCTCTTAGATACACGGCGCTGACGAAAGCGGGGTCCTGTGGCGTAGTTGTGTGCTGCATCTCCCTCCTGCCCCGAAGCCCCAGAAAAAAAAACAGCGCCAGGCTCAGAGTAGGATACTGAGATGGTCGGCCTCAGGGTGGACCTGTCGCATTTATTTGGCGGGCAACTTGGCGATCTGTCTACGCCTTTCATCATGGTGGGTGACATCAGCATGCAGCCTGCGTCGCTTGGAGGTGATAGGAAACCGCTACCAAGTCAGGACGAATGGCGGGCGGCTCTCCTAGCGGATTGGCCCCTGGACCTGTTGAAACCGCTCGTGGGCCATCAGAGGTGTGAAGAGGTCTTCCTGCCGCGCCGCCGCTGCAGCATCCAGTTTAGGCCAGGCGACGCGCATCGCGGGCCAGGGCTATCACAGTGCATCGATGTGGTTGCGGCGTCGGCAGCAGCTTCGGGGATGGCTACAATTCGCAGCGGCCTACATTGCCCGAGGGACTCACCCTGCAGGTTGGCGGGCGGTGAAATTGTGGACTACACGCAGGGGGACCACTTCTAGATTGAATTTGACTTTCCGCTAGATGTTCTGTCTGCTACGCAGGCCAACGGCCCCCTGCGGATGCCCAGGTGGTGGCTAGACAGGGCCAGTTGGGTGGCTGGCGCGCAAGCGGCAGAGGAGTCCTTGAAGAGTAGTGCAGTGGGGGTCTCGGCGCTCAAAGCCGAGGGGCTCAGTTGTAAAGCCCGCGTGTTGCGCAGAAGGGATGCGCAGTGGGTCTGCGACGCGTCGGCGTGGTGACTTCAACTCGTTCTGGGCCTGTCCATGGCGGGCTGGGTTGCCCCGTGCGTGTCATGGCTCGGTCGCCAAGCAAGGACCAGAGCAGGTGGGCTCGTCGCGACGGAGACCCGTCGGACTCGTCTCCAGGAGGTGCTTCAAATTGAAGTGGGCTGGGGGGACAAGTGTGCGCAGTGGGTGCAGGTGCTGAGGCCGCGGGGGGTCCGTCCCGAACCATGCCTGAGGGTGGGCTGTGCCCTTCTCCCATCGGCGCATGCGTTACTTGAGTGGGGAAAGCAGTTGCAGAGACACTCAGATTGGCCCAGACGTGGGACGCGAGCTATCCTGCCCTTGCGCAGAAGGATCCGCCAGAATTGCTGGGAGGCGCGCGGGCCAAGAGAGGCCCAGGGCCGCGCGACCTTCCAGTCATGTAGAACGAGGTGTGCTCCGTGGTGGGGCAGAGGGCGCGGGTGGATGCCGCGCCGCCGGATATAATGCCCAGGGTTGTCCTACAGGCTGGGGCCCCGAGTGTGGACGCAACTGTGTGGCTACTGATGCACATCATGGGCCCTGGAGCCCTTGCCATGCGCCTGCGCGTCTGGAGAGGGCTCTGCAGTGTACCGCAGCACAAGGAGGGCCCAGCGGACGAGAGCGGCAACTTCCGACTCATTATGGTTCGGGCGCAATTGGGCCCGCTGCAAGACACAATCCAGTTCGGAACGCTGAAAGGCGATGCCAGGGCATCCATCACCCCGGGCCAGAGTGGCCACGTCAAACATGCGGGAGAGGCACACCTCATCTTCTTAGAGGGCCATCCGGATGGCATTCGGGGACCTGCAGAATGGCGAGAACAGCTTCTCCTGACGCTCGCCCGCCGGGCGGGGGTCACAGGCGGAGCCTTGGCCATCCTTGGGCCCATGCTAGAGGAAGACTGCGTGCGCGTGATTAAAAACCACGTGCGTGTGGAGGCCATCGTACAGAGCCTTGCCGATAGAGACGATCTAGGGCCTCTGTGCTTTCCTCCGTGCATGGGTGGGCTTTTCGGTCGCCCTCGCGGGCGCTTGGGCGGGCCTTGGAGGGGCCATCCCCGCGCAGTGGCAGATTGGGGAATGGCCGCGCACAGTGGCTCTCGTGGAGGTGTGGTCTAGGCAGCTCTTGGTGGATATCAGGGGGAGGCGTGGGCTACCATCGCAAGCTCAAATGGATGCCCTTCCAGATCTGGAGGTCTCGGCCTTGGAGGCGCTGGATTGGGCCGCTCCCCAGAGACTTCCTGCATAACTGCGCGCGGGCGACCCTGCGGTTAAAGCCAGCAGCAGAGGATGCGCGCAGAAAGTTTTGGGAGTTCTCGCAGCGCAGACTTCCATGCGCAAGGGCGGCCCTCACGCAGAGGCTACCACGCGCGCGGCCATGGTGTCGGGGGGCCGCCAGTCCGTTCGGGCCGCGCAGATGGAGCCCCTGGTCTTTGCTGGCTTTGGCAGGCCAGGAGCCGATGCCCATCGCGGCGGTGACCCAACATCGCTGGCTGGGACCCCATTGGCGCGGCGAGTTGGATCTCTTGGGCAAGGGCAAGGGCGGGATCAGCACCGCGGCCTCCCACGCGTCCACGCTGGCCGGCCTAGTGGCACGTGAGGAGCTTCTAGTATCCGCGGCAGCAGGCGTCTTTGATCTGCAGGTGGAGGCCTCTTGCAGGTTCGGCTGGTGGCTCTGGGCCTCTGCGTCTGGAGGAGAGGAGGCTGCGGGCGCGGCGTGCGAGCGCTGGCCAAGGTTGTTCTTGGGCGTTCCGCCATGGCGGGGGCCAGCAGCAGCTCTCAGCGAGATGGGCTGGCACCTGTCGAGGGCAGCGCGGCTGGTGGGCGATGTGGCATCCAGAGGAGAGGAGGTTTGTGGGCCCTTCCGACGGTGACCTGCACCGAGACTCAGTCCTAGGTGCGCGCGAGTGGGGCGGCAGCACGTGGGCCAGGGCCTTTGGTCCTTGTCAGCTCCAGGAGCGTACCAGACTGGCTGATCTGGTCCCTACAGAACCCCTACGGCACAATGGTCTCTTGCAAGGCCGAGGTCCAGGATAGGTGGGTTCGGTTTTCAGAGGAGCGCTGGCGGCAGGCAGGTTTGCCAGAATCTTCTCCTTTTTCTACGCCTCTCCCTGGGTCCCAGGTTCCCGACGGACCTGCAGCACGTGCAAGGCCTCTCCCCCTTGCGGGAGGTCCTGTTGTGCCAGAGGTCGTTGTCGCGTCTTCGCGTGGGCGCCCTCGTGCTGTGACATGAGTCGGGCAGGCGATCCTTGGCACGAGTCCAAGCATTTATCCTCTGTGGCATTCGCACGAGGAGCCGCGCCTTCCATGTTCTTGGTTGGGGTGTGTGAGGCTTTGTTGTCGAGACATCGTGCGGATTTCTGGCGAGCCCTCGGTACACCGCTTTGGAGTCGAAGGCATCGCGTGCGGGGGCAATGTTGTACTCCACCCCCGACCAGCCAGGCTATGTGGAGGCTGCTGCGCTCGCGCTGGCCGTGGACAGGGCGGAGGCTTGGTTATGGTCGGAGGTTGTCGCCGCATGAGTGCCATCCCCCCACTTATCCTTGCCTCTCTCTCTCTCTCCTTCCCTCCCTCCCTCCCTTTCGGCTGCGTTTTTTCCGCGGCAGGGCCCTGTTCGAGCAGGACGGGCCTCTGCTGGGGGTTGCCGGTGTCCGGCTGGGTTGGGTTGGGATGGGCGTCCGCTCGCCCCTCGTCCGTCTCCCTCTCTCTCTCTCTTTCTTTCCCCCTTCCGCTCGCCCCTCGTCCGTCTCTCTCTCTCTCTCTCTCTCTCTCCCTCCCTTCCTCTCCCCGTCTCGGCCGCGCTTCCCTCGCGGCAGGTCCACGGCCACCTGGCTCCCTTGCTGTCGGGTGTGGCCGGACTTCGGGGCGGCTTCGCCTCCCCGGGGCCCCGCCGAGCGCTTCCCGCCGGTGCCCCCGCCCGGGTCTGGGGCAGGCGCCCTCCGTGGAGGCGCGCCGTGGGATCCGCCCGCGTGGGCTCCTGCTCGTTGCGTGGCCGCCCGTGGAGTTGCGGACGGGCCCTCCGCTGGGGGTTTGCGGGTGTCGGGTTGGGGGGGTGGGGTCGGGGCGGGGGGGGTCCCCTGGAATCCAGGGGGGAGGATCCAGGGCCTGGATCCTCCCCCCTTCCGCCCGTCCGTCTTTCCCTCCCTCCTTCCGGGAGGAGGGCCGCTCCCCTATACGCTCCCTCCTTCCGGGAGGAGGGCCCCTGCCTCCTTCCGGCAGGACGCCAAGACGCTTCCTGACTGCACGCTCCTTACGCAGGGCCTTTCGCCAGCAGGGACGCTGCGGCAACGGGGTCCGAGGTCTGTCATGTTGGGCTGAGCAGGGGCCCCCTCCATTCCCCAGGGAGGATTTCGTTCCCTTCTGGTCCGCAGTGGTGCTTAGCGCACGCTATTCTGATGGCGGCGGCTGGGGGACAGGGTGAAGGCCCCCGGCAGTTGAGATGCGGACCCTCTGCTGGCCCATCGCGCTCTTGACGGCCGCTGTCCCCTTTGTCGCGGGCTTCTTGGCATGAAAGGTGGCCACGGAGCTGCCCGCCTGGAGGCGCAATCGTCGGTGTGGGGATGTTCCGTCGCAGGGGGGCCTCCTCCTGCCCGGCCAGTTTCGCTAAACGCGTGCATGCCTGAGGATGCAAACGCCGCCCAACGGGCCACCCCAGCCAGCCAGACTCTTCCCTCCTCCCCTCCCTCTCCCATCGGTTCCTCCCACTGTATCATCCTTCTTCCGTCGTCCCTTTTCCTTTCCGTCGCGGTCTTCCTCACCAGTCGCTGCCATTGGCTGCGAGGCAACCATCGCGAAGCGGCGTTCCTACGCCTCCACGATCTCGTATCTGACGCCGCCCGCGGAGAATTCGGGTCTCTACAAAGGCCCCCCGGCCCTGGCCAGTCCATAACGAGGTGGGAGCTGGGAGGAGGAGGAGAAGGAGGAGGATGGTGAGGGGCATGTATGAAAGCAGAGAAGGGGGTAATGGTGATGATGGTGGTGATGATGATGAGGATGATGATGGTGATTACGATGACGACGGTGATGAGGATGATGTTCATGCTGATGCTGCTGCTGATGATGATGACTACGCTGATGACGATGACGACGACGTCGATGATGATGAGGACGATGATGCTGATGATAATGCCGATGATGGTGATTGTGGTGATGATGGTGTTGATGTTGATGGTCATGATGATGATGCTGATGCTGATGATGATGCCGATGATGACGGTAATGACGATGATGATGATGATGCAGATGTTGATGCCGCTGTTCATGATGGTGATATTATTGTTGGTGAAGATGATTGTGATGATGGCGACGAGGATCATGCTGATTTAGGTTATGACGATGCTGATGATGATGACGATGATGTTGATGATGATGACGATGATGTTGATGGTGATGGTGATGATGCTGATGATGACGATGATGATGAAGATGATGATGATGATGATGATGATGATGATGATGGCGGTGATGGTGATGATGTTGGTGGCAGCGATGTTGATGCTGCTGATGGTGCTGACGATGCTGATGCGTATGCTGATGATAATGATGATGATGATGATGATGATGATGATGATGATGATGATGATGATGATGATGATGATGATGATGATACTGATGATGATGATGATGCTCATGCACACATTTATTTCGATGATGGCCATGCGGATTTGAAGCATGATGATGATGATGACGATGTTGATGATCATGATGCTGATGATGCTGCTGAGTCTGATGATTGTGATGCTAATACTGGTGATAGTGATGATGATGGTGGTGATGATGATGCTGATAATGATCCTCATCATGGTCATGATGACGATGATGATGCTGGGGATGCTATTGATGCGACTGATAATGTTCATGCTGATGTTGTTGATGTTGATGCTGATGATGACGATACTGATGCTGCTGGTGTTGCTGATGATGATGACGATGATGAGGATGATGATCGACATCGTGGTCATGATGAGGATATTGATGATATTGATGCGAATGATGATGTTCATGCTGACGCTGCTGATGCTGAAAATGATGAGGATGATGATGATTGTGATTGTGGTGAAGACGGTGACCGTGATGTTGATGATGATGGTGGTGGTGATGATTGTGGTGATGGTGATGGTGATGGGGATGGTGATGGTCGTGATGATGGTGGTGATGATACTGGTGATGGCAGTGACGCTTGTGGTGATGTGGGTGATGCTGGCGATCCTGTTTGGGGGGCGTGGCTGTGCCCGCAAACGGGTCCTCGTCCCCCTGCCGCCCGGGCTTCCCGCCCCCTGGGGGGCGGCGTGCCGTGGGTTGGAGGCCCCCCCCGCTCCTCCCTCCCTCCCTCCTCCTCCTCCTCCTCCTCCTCCTCGGCCTCCTCCTCCTCCTCCTCCTCATCCTCATCCTCCTCCACAATTACTCAATATGAATACTACTCTCCCTCTTCCCCAGATGGCGGCCTGAAAGTAGCCGACCCCCCCCCGCGTACTGTTTTTTACAGGATTCCCGGGAGTTGGGTTTTCGCCTGCGTTTTTTTTCAAAATGTTGCTCTCGCTGAGGCGCCGGCCTCATTTCTGCTCCCGAATCGTTCCGAATCGTGCTCCCGCTGCAGCGTGGGCCTCATTTTCGGATCGGTGTTTGGCCTCCGTCGTTCAGGATGGCGTTCTCGCCCCAGCGCGGGCCTCTTTCTCGCGCGCCCATCCGCCCGCCACCACCGCGCCGCGACCACCACCACCACCAACACCACCACCACCACCACCACCACCACCACCACCACCACCACCACCACCACCACCACCACCACCACCACCACCACCACCACACCACCACCACCACCACCACCACCACCACACACCAGCACCACCACCACCACCACCACCACCACCACCACCACCACCAACCACGCACACACGCACGCACGCACGCACGCGCAGCACCACCCACTACGCACGCGCGCGCGGTGCCACAGGTCCGCTACGACACGCGTTCGCGGATAGAGAAAATCAGCGCCATGGTAAGGGATGGGAGGGAGGGGTAGGACGTCAGATATGACGCGAGCGCACCTAGCTTGTCCTCCTCCCCTCCCTCCCTCCTCCCTCCTCCTCCTCCCCTCCTCCTCCTCCTCCTCCTGATCCTCCTCCCTCCCTCCTCCTCCTCCTCCTCCTCCCTCCCTCCCTCCCTCCCTCCCTCCCTCCCTCCTCCTCCTCCTCCTCCTCTTCCTTTCCGCGGCGTTGCGGCCCGGCTAGGTGTGTGACCCACTCCCCCGCCCTGGGGGTGTCGTGGTCGTTCGTCTGTCGTCGGTGCCGCGTCCTCGCTTCGTCTGTTGTCGTCGCGTCGGGTTTTCGAAACAGGTTTGAGCCCTGGCAGTTGGTTCTCGTCGGCGGCTGGGTGTTTACCAGAACAGGAAAAAACACATAAACACAAAGGTTTTTTTGGTTTTACGCCGGAAGGGGGCGTCGTTGAGAGGGTGCTTGGCACGGGTGCGGGGATCGGGGTGGCGTCGGTGTTTGAAGCTGGCGGTTTGCGTGGCAAGTGCGTTTGGCTGGCCGCATCTGTTTGGAACGCGTGACGGGTGGAAAGGCCGTTCACCAGCAACTGGCAGTCTTCTGCCCGCGTGCCAGAAGACATCGTCGCGCGCTCGCAACGGGGCGTGGGAAAGGGGGTTTGGGAAGAGAGCGCGAGTCTCCTTCCCAAGAAGTCCCTTCGATTGGCAGCAAACAAGTATTTTTCTGCTCATGCGCCGCACGGCCAACCGCACGAACGAACAACTGTCTCGGCACGCAGTGTTAGCGCCACTTGCGCGCATCCTGGTTTGCTTCCGTTGCTTCCTTCGCTTCTTTCTCGCCCTCCTCTTCCTTTTCCTCTTCCCCTGCTTTGCCTTGTCCCGCCCCCTGAGCTTCTGGGGCTCCTATTCTCTTTCGGTGGACAGGGCGACCTCCCCGCTCCAAACATCAGGGGACATCCTGGGGTCTCACGGTCGGGCTTCGTGTGGAAGGTCTCTCGTGGATCGCGCCTCCGGCTGCGCCTTCTCCGCGCTCCCCTCGCCGAGCACCCGGCGAGCACCCGCCAGCGCCTCGGCGATCGGTTGCGGGGGCGGGTTGGAAGTGCAAGTTGGGGAAAGGCCTTTGCTTCAAGGAGTACCGCCTACCCTCGGCTCCGTCTTCGTCTGTACGCGCGCCAGGCCGCACGTTGGCAGCATGGACGAGTTCGGTCGAGATGCAGAAGCTCAAGGCCGAGTTGACCGCGACCTACGCCAAGCTCCAGCAGGCCACTGGCCAGACTGCCCCTCAGCTTGAGGAGCCAACCATCACAGGTAAGGAGAAGTCCAAGCAAAGGTTGCGTGAGCTCGCGGACCTCATCAAGACTGCAGGATCCAGCTCAGACCCGCACGTGGTCGCAGCTAAGGAGGCCTACCCCAAAGAGCAGTTGGATATCAAGAACAAGCTGGCTGCTGCCAGGCCGTTGGGGCAACGGCTCCGCGACCTGGGTGCGCAGATCACACGACATGAGAAGCTACGCCAAGACCAGGAGCGGAAACGGGACAACCTCCGCGAGCAGCAGACACAGCTTCAAGAGCAAGAGGATGCCGCCACCAAGCAGTTGGCGGAGCTTGACAATCATATGGAGGATATACAGGAGCTGCAGCGCGAGCTCCAGCGTGAAATACCAGTTCCACCCCAGGGCTCCACTGGGCAGCCTGCCGCCGACGAGCCGATCAAAGGCCTCTCCGTCACGCTGGGCGCCTGGGCGGGGTGCTCGCGGCGCCCGGGGCAAACCGCGAGCTGGCGGAGCGGCTCAAGACAGACGTCGAGCACTTGCGCAAACTGGAAGCTGAGGCACGTGCCAACCAATAAGCTGAACGAAACTGAACGTGAAGCCGCAAAGCGAGCACGTCGCGAGCAAGCTGAGGAGCAGGCCCCAGGCGAAGAAATGGAGGTGGAGGCCAAGGACGAACAGAGTCTGCTTGAGGAGAGTGCCAAGGCGGGAGGAGATAAGCGAACGATCGCTGAAATCCTCGCGGCACACGGGGCCAGGGTCAAGCGGTCCAAGTCGGCGCTCACAGTGCCGCCTTCGGTCCCGCCAGCGGCCACCCCGCCGCAATAGCGGCGGCTCGTCTTTCCTTCGGATGCTCATGTCTATATGGATTCTATTTCGATGAATGACGAGTTCGATAGTTAGCACTACGTTGAATGTTTCTTCAGGCGGCCCGCTAATCGACTACCTGAAGTCCTGCCGCAGCATGTGCGTCGCTGTTCAGGAACATTACGCCCGCGTCGTGGGCGGCGGCCTTGCCGAGGTACAGCAAAACGCTTTGTCCGAGGTCTTCCATGGTATCTGGGAGCCCGCTCTGCCAGGGATGGGCCCTGGTGCCCAGGCAGGGGTGGCCATCTTGGCGCCCAAGCGAGTGCTGGTCACCGCCTCGCCTGGCCCGGACGGGCCCGCGTTGGGGCCTGGCAGGATGGCTGCCGCGCGTGTCAGCTGCGGCCGAAAGGGCTTCGCCATGGTCTCGATCTATCTGCGCGTCGACGAGCAGCTGTCGCCCGAGCACCTGGCCATGCTCTTCAAGCTCTACAAGTACTTCAAGGAGCTGGAGGCGACGCAGATGCCGTGGATCGTGGGCGGCGGCTTCAACGTGGAGGTCTCGCAGCTGGAGACGTTGGCTTGGTTGCATTCCGTCAGCGGCGGGGCCGCTGTTCCGCCAGCCCCCACATGCGTGCAATCTCTCCTGGCAGCACGTTGATTATTTCTTTGCCTCCTGCCCGCTGGCCCAACGTCTCAGCCCCGCAGCGGTCGGCGAGGCCAATGCGTGGCCACGCCTGCCCGCGGCCATCACGATGCAGGCGAAGCCCCAGGACATGTGGATCAGGGAGCTGGTGCAGCCGAAAGGGTTCAGCAAGCCTCCCAAGGCCGGGCGCGCGCGGCCGCCCCGACTGGGAGCCGCTCCTCCACCTGGCTCAGAAGGCTACCACGGCGCTGGATATGGCACATGTTTGAGACCAGTTGCTGCTTGGCGCCGAGTTTGGGCTGCAGGGGGGGCTTGATATTGTTGGGCCGCGCGCTGACAAGTTTACCGGTGAGACAGGCCCCGGCGCTCGAGTGGAAGAAGCGCGATCCAGCGGAGTCCTTCTCCTGGAAGCGTAAGGCACCTAGCGCGGCGGCTTGGGCCACGGCTGCGCGGTGGGCCTGCCGCTTTCGCAGAGTACGCGCTGCCCTGCAGGCGTTTGCGCTCAAGTTGGCCAGCCCCACGGTCGCGCCCCAGTCGGCCGGCAGTCGTGAGGGGGAGGTGCGTGAAAGCCCCCCACAGGGTGACGGTGATTTTCACGAAGTTGGCCCCTCCTGCAGTTCGCAGAGGACGGCTGGCTGGTTTTCAGGCGCGCGCAGTGGATCGGACTCTTCGCTTGGAGGTGGCGGCGAATCGCTGGAGGGGCGGCGCGGCGCAGCCTGTGTCGCGTCGCAAGTCGCCTTGGCGAGGCCGCCTTCGGAGGTGTCGCGCGCGAGGGGCAGGCCCGGCTGGGCCGCGACCGCTTCGGAGGAGGTCGCGGGGGAGCTGGGGCTCCAGGTTTGCGTCGAAGCTGGGCCTCGGAGAGGCGGGCTGGATGCTCGCGCGCGGCGACCTCGCGGAGGCGTGGCGAGTGCACCTTGCGATCGCCAGCCTCAAATATGAGAGGGGGCCAGGCCCCCAGCTGCTGGGGGGGAAGGCGCTGAGAGCGCAGGGCCTCGCCCAGCGCCTGCCTTCGACGCGCCTGGCGCGGCGAGTAGCCGGCCCCGACCTCCTCCCGAGAGAGGTTCCCCGACAAGGTTTGCATTGAGACAGCGAAGTACATCTTGGGGTTCGAGAATTTCCTGCGTCGCATGGAATTACTTGGATGGGCAGGCCACGGCATTCCTTGGGCGCGGCATCGGCCCCTTCCTGCATTGCGCTGTCGGGCGGCAGATCGACGGGATCTTTGCGAAGGCCGAGGCGATGCAGCGCACTCGCAATCCGAAGGCTGCCCAGAGCTGGAAGTCGTGGGCTGAGGCGGCGTTCGAAGGTGGCGCCAGTTGCGTTCACAAGTTGTATACGCCTCGGGCTCTCCAGGAGGCCATTGACCTCGGCGAGGAAGTTCAGCGCGCATGCCAGCTTGCCGACAGGAAGTTTGAGTATTGGAACGGTTTCTGGCAACATCATGGGGCCCAACCCGTTGAACTTCCACCTGATGCTGCCGATGGGGATCCGCTCCCGCCTCTGGCAGTGACATCCGCACGGCGATTCGGGCCTTCAGTTGGGCGACGGGGACAGGACAGGTCAAGATCGCGCCGCGGGTGCTTGACCAGTTATCCGATGCCGCCTTGAGTGCGAAGGCGATGGTTTTCTGCCGCCGTGAGGAGTTGCTTCTTCGGCCTCAGGAGCGGCTCATCTCCAAAATGGCACGTCTCCCCAAGCCTGGGGGGGGGGCGGGGGCGACCCACCGCGATCCACAACACTCTTATGCGTGTCTGGGGTCGGGCGCGGCGACCGATTTCGGCGGGCTGGGGGGCTGCGCCATGCCAGCGGGGAGTCTGTGGCCATGTCGGCGGGCGCTCCTCCACGGACGCGGCGCTCGACCTGGCGCTCGAGAAGGCGACGGCGCAGTTGACTGGCAAGTATGCGTTTGTCGTGTTCCTCGACATGCTCAAGTGCTATGCTATGGTCAAGCACTCCGCCATATTCAGCGAGTGCAGGGCGAACCGGTTCCCTATGCGCCCGGCGTGCATGCTGGTGCTGCTCTACGAGCAGGTTCGCTCTATCTTCGCGGGCAATTCTTTCTCTCGAGCTCAGCAGGCGTGCCAAGGTACCTCGGCAGGGCGCGCGCATGCCACCGCGATGTTGATGGCCCCCCCTCTCGCGCAGCATCAAGTTGACCACTGCTGTTGCGAAGGCCGAGAGACCTGGCCGATGACGTGGCCTTGATCTGGGCGGGCCACGATCCCCGCGGCTCGCGCTTGGTGGCTACGGCGTGCCGTGTCTTTCGCGAGTCAGTACGCGCTCTTGGCCTCATTCTGCAACTTGAGAAATTTGGCCGCTTAGCTCTGACGCGGCAGACGGCTTATCATATCAAGCCGCTCGCCAGGATGCTCGAGATCGCAGGCCGACGTCGCATGCGGCATCTTGGCCATGATCTTGGCGCCGCAGTGGCCGCGCGCGGGTTGCAGAAGGACCGCCCGAGGAAGATGCGCGGCAGGAAGGCCAGAACCTGTGCTCTTCGGCGGGGCGCTGGTCGTGCCAAGGCGGCCAGGATTTGGGCCGCTGGAGTGCCTCCCTCTTGTCGGCCCCGGCGCGGCCGTCAGTGGTATCAATGACGGCGGGCCGAAGCAGATGAGGGGCGTTGCTGGTAGTTTCTGTGGATTCGCAGGCTCAGGCTCGCTACCCTATACCTCGCTGCGCAGAAGCAGCGCGCATGCGACCCGATCTACCGCGCCACTTGGAATATCCTGCAGCAGTATTCAGCCTGGATGTGGGAGCTCCGCGGCTCGCCGTCACACCTCCAGTAGGCGTGGGTGGCGCTGCGCGACCAGATCTGGGGCGCCTCCCAGTTCACCTGGGCTGGCGCTAGAGGCCCGCTCTCGGCGCTTTGGCTCGCGCTGAAACGAGCGTGCTGGGACTTGGCGTCGTCCGCGGTTGTTGTCGACGACCTCGGCGTTGCGTGCGACTTGCTCAGGGTGCCCCCTAGCGAGTTGGAGCACCACCTGTTCGCCAGCTTGGAGAGGTGGCAAAGTCGCAGGATTCTGGATCACCTTTCTGGAGCTCCTCAGCTGGGCGAAGGAGGGGGCCGCCAGCACATCTGGATGCGAGCTCTGAGGAAAGGGTACTGGCGACCGCTTTCCAATGGTCTTCGAGGAGCGCTGGCCAAATTGCAGTCTAACGGTTTGTGGTCACCCGAGAGACGGCGTTTGGCGGGCTACACGGACAACGCGACCTGCGAGTTCTGTGGCCACGAGCCCTCGGGCCTGGAGCACGATACATTCTAGTGTTCGATCCACGAGCAGCAGGAAGACGAAGATGAGCCTCCATGCCCCGACTACGTCTTGCAGGTCAGGAAGGACATTCGGATTCAGGGGCGTACTGGTGCAGGCCTGGAGTGGGACTTCACCCCCGTCAACCTGCTCTACGCCATCCCACTGGGGCCTGTTTTCAGGCCCCCTGAGCCTAGCCTGCTGCCTGTGAAAGAATGGGGGGGGGGGCCTCGAGGGCCCCGTGGCCAGGTGCAGTCTACGGTGGTGGTTATTGTGTTGAAGGTGGTTTTCCTGAGTCCAGGAGATGCGGATGGGCCGTGGTGGCCTTGGCGCCAAACCTCGTCCCGTTCCAAGCGATTTTTGGCGGACTTGGCGGCCCAATTCAAACCGTTCCCCGCGCAGAGAGGACTGCCGCGCTGCGCGGGCTTGAAGTTGCTGCCGGGCCGACCGAGTTTGTGACAGATCATTTAAGTCTCGCCCGTGAAAGGGGCCGTGTGGGTTGGTAAGCACGCTAGGGCCCTTGCCCCGCGCACTACCGCCTGGCGCAGAATACATCAGTTGCACGCTGCTGATGAGCGCCGGCCCGTCTTCACTTGGACCAAGGCTCATCGGTCTGTCGATGAGGGTTTGTCTGCGTGCGTCGAATCGGGCGAGGCGCTAGATAACTTTTCGGCAGTATGTGGGTCGACTCTTTCGCGAAGATGGCCGCGCTCGAGATGTCGGGATCCTCGTCGGTCGTTGTTTCAGCTCGAGCAGGCGCAGAGCCGCATGAGGCGTCTTGCTTTCGCTGCAGAGAGGGTGGCGAAGATGGCCACGCCCGTATTTGGGAAGCCCCTGGCGCCCGCCCCAGGAGCTCGGCGTGAGAGGAAGCCCACCACACATGTGTTCGTCGGTTTCCCTGAGGGAGCCCTCGGCTGCAACATCTTTTGGAGGCAGGCCACCGCCCTTTCCTCCCTCAAATATATGTCCGCCCGCCTCTGCGATCCCCAAACTCCAGGGCCTGGCCATCAGGTGCAGGAGTTGGAACGTGTGTTAACCTGCGCGAGCTGCGGTGCGCACGCGGTGCGCTCTCAGCGCCTCTCGGTCGGCCTTGTTCGTGCTTGTAAGGGGGGCGGGACTGGGGCGACTTGGAGCCGGGCGGAGCGGGATCGTCTTCAGAGGCTCGTGTTGTATGCTCAGAGGGGCCGTCATCCCAAAGCGTGTGAGGCCCTTGGCCCGTTGTTGCTGGCCGACGCGCCTGCGGATTTTCCGATGACGTCGGGGGACTCCCAACAGGTGCCTCCGAGGGTGTGGGTCGAGAGCTCTGGGGCCGAGGCCGTTGGCCTGCGTGGGGCGGAAAGGCTCGAAGGTGCCCCTGGCTCGGGCTCACTGCCCGAGGAGGCCGCGTGAGTTTCTGTGCGCAGTGCTGGCGTTTGACCGCGCTTCCTGAGGCGTCCCCAGCCTGGCTGGGTCGCCATTCTTCTCCCGAGACGGTTTCGTGATGCACCTGGCCGCTCTGTGCATTGCTCGCATTGCTCCTCCTCCCCCTCCTCCACCTCCCCCTCTCCTCTCCTCCTCCACCTCCTCCTCCACCTCCTCGGGTCGCCTACGGCTCCAGGGGAAACCGTTTATGGTGGGGCGATTGGGGCCGAGGCCTCAACGAACTCAGCGAGCTGGTGAAGTCTTACCAGGGCCTCCGCGAGAACGAGCAGCGCGGCGCCGCAATCGTGAGTTCGATCGTCGCCACGGCGAGGCGGGGCGCCCTCCTCCCACGCTCGTTCCCACGCTCGTTACCCAACGGCCATGGTTAGGTCGGGCATGTCCTGCTGCGGATGTTGGATGAACAGCAACAAACACGCTCTCACATAGTCAACGATAGTCAAACATTGTTCCCACATTGTTTTCTGACAATTTTATAACATGCCTCCTGTAGAGGGAGGGACAGGCCCGACTCCAGGCCACGGAAACGTGCGGCCACGTCAGCAGTCCCAGCGGGCCCGGCGAGCGGCTCTTCCTGTGCCCCCCCCCTCTCCAGCCCCCCCTCTCTCCTCCTCTCTTCCCTTTTGCGTCTGTCCCGCCTCCCGCCCGTTCGGGACACGGCGGATCTCGCTTTTGGGTCGCACGCGCTCTGCCGGGACCCTCGAGAGCGAACACTGACGAAACGTTTGGCCCACCAAAGAATGTTCTAATAACTCGTTTGTGGCTTGCGCGACATGTCCTTAGATCATTTCTGGCTGAGACCGTCTTGTGTTAATGCATCGGGTGTATGTTCTAAGGCCAATTTCTTCTTAGAACATGTTGGGGTTCTACGCACATTTGGTGGTAGGCCCATAGGAATGCTGGGACGGTCGGCCCCTGCTCGAGAGAGAGAGAGAGAGAGCGAGCGGACTGGAGCCGCGATGCTTGGGCCCCGACGCCCTGCGTGCGCAGCGAGGTCCGCTTCCCCCCCCCTCTTTTCGGGGGCGGCCAGGAGGGGGGTGAGGACTACGGGGGGGTGGATGTCGTGGCGTGGGCCATGCTATTTCCCCAGATGCTATGGCCCCTCCTCGTATTTCAACACGTCCCTGGCCCCCCCGCTGGGCCGTGCACATGCCGCCGGCCACGATTTGCGCCCCCCCCCCTCTTGGATCTGGACGCCCGAAATGGGCACGGAAAGAATGGGTACGATGCCCAACAGCAGCTCCTGTTCATTTTGAACGGGACTCGCTGTCCGCGCCGCCGCGGCCTGTGTCCATTTGAGACAGAAGGCCGCCTGCCCAACAGCGGCTGCTGTTGGTTTGGGACAACATTTGTTGTTGGGCATTGTACCCATTTCTTCCGTACCCATTTCGGGCGTCCATACTCTTGGACGCCCCCCTCCTGGCCGCTCTCGATCTTTCGCTCCTCGAGGCACGGGGGCAGCACACGAGCTGCCCGTGGGCGTCGGGTCTCGGCTCCGCCCTCGCGCGTGCTCTCTCCGATGTGTCTCTTGCTCTTGGTTGCTCCGTGGCTCTCCGCGCAGTCTCCTTCCATATCCTTGTAGTTCACCCCCACGTCTCTCTCTCTCTCTTGCCTTTGTCTCTCTCGTCTCTACTAGTGGGTATCTCTGTGTGCATATATATATATATATATATATATATATAAATATATATATATATACTACACATATTACGGCGCACCGGGTCCGGGCGCCCGGCGCACCGGGTCCAGGTGCCCGGGGCCGGCGCCGCTACCACAAATGTGGGCTCCGGGGCCCTCGGGGAGCCCCGGGGCCTCACAGAAGACCGCCAGAAGGCACCAAGGAGGCCCCAAGAGGCCCCAAGAGGCTCCAGAACAGACCCGGGACGCCCGAAGGTCGCTCCCAGACGCCCAACATGGCCTCCAAGGCGGCTTCAGAAGCCCCCAAGACACCCCAAGCGACCCCCAATAGGGCCCCAAAGAGAGCCCCAAGGGGCCCAAATAGCCCCATTCCCTTCGTCAGACGTATATTTTTAATTGCTTGTTTTCGCTGTCGGTCCGGCCGAGGACGCGCCCCAGAGGGCCCCAATACAGCCCTAGAGAGCTCCAGGACGGCCCACGAAGGGCCCAAGACGGCCCAAGAGAGTCCCCAAGACGGGCCCGAGAGGGCCCCAGAGGAGGAAAGCCACCATCGAATTCCAAGCTTTCGACCCCAAGTGGCTCCAGGAGGCGCCGAAAAGCCCCCAAGAAGCGCCCGGAATGCTCCCAAAAGCACCCCAAGACGCTCCAAGAGGCACCCCAAGAGAGCTCCAAGAAGCAAACATCGTCTCATTCCTGTGGGAAAGCGTATATTTTTCGCATGTTCGCCTGTTGGCCTGTCATCGCGTCCAAGACGGCCCAGGGGGTTCCCAAGACGGCCTAGGAGGCCCCCCAAAGAGCTCCAAGACGGGCCACGAGAAGCCCAGGACGGCCCAATGGGCTCCCAAGACGGCTCAAGAGAGCCCCAACACGCGCCCGTGAGGAGTCCCAGAGAAAGAAAGCCACTCTCGAATTCCGAGCTTTCGGCCCTAAGAGATCCCAGGAGGCGCCGATACGCCCCCAAGAGGCCCCAAGCAGGCCCCCCAAAGCACCCCAAGATGCTCCAAGAGGCACCCCAAGAGAGCCCCAAGAAACTAAAATCCGTCCATTCCTATGGGGAAACGTCTATTTTTCGCATGCTCGCCTCTTGGGCTGTCACCGAGTCCAAGACGGCCCAAGCGGCCCCCCAAAACGGCCTAGGAGGCCCTTTAGACATCTCCAAGACGGCCCAGGAGGAACGCAGGACGGCCCAATCGGCCCCCAAGACGGCCCAAGAGAAGCCCAAGAAGCGCCCGAGAGGGGTCCCAGAAGAAGACAGCCACTTTTCTAAAGAAGGGAATTTCCAGAATTCCCTCCTTTAGAAAAGTTGGACTCCTACTCGGGGGTCCCACACATCCCCTGACATCTGGCCGGTACCGCGCCCCCCGGCTTCCCAGGGGGAGACCCCAAGACGCCGAAGGACAGCCCATGACGACCCCAAGGAGCCCCCATAACGTAAAGAACGGCCCAACACGCTCCCGCGCAGCCCGAGACACCCTTCCGACCGCTCTCCAGGCCTCCAGGAGGCCTCCAGAAGCCCCAGGGGGTCTGGAAGATCCCACACCCCTGAGGGGCCCGGCTAACAAAACCCGCGAGGCACAAACAAAAAACAGCGCCGAACAGCGCCGAGGAACTGGGAAAAAATGGGAATCCCACATTTTTGTTTTGTTTTCCAATCTTGGCCCCTGGTCTACTCTTGCACAACAGACCAAAATTACGATCCCCCTCACCTTCCAAAAATAACTCAGGAAGCCTTTGAGGGCCCCAAGTCGTTGAATACCTTCCGCACTTCCCCTTCTATACGATTCCGAGGCTTGCGCAGGGCCTCCAAGGGAGACCCTGGACGCAAGAAGCGACCAACATGATATTACATGAGTTAGCCGATCAAGCCTAGCTAGAACTTGAGCGCGCGCGAAGCGCGCGATTGTTCTATACATATACTTATGTAGATAGATCATATTGTTGGCTTGCGTTGGATATATCTATATATATATATATGTCTTTGTATATATATATGTATATATACATATATATATATATCGCCCTGTCCTCGCTACGGCACGGGGAGTCCCTTTTTGCGCGTTCTTCCCCCCTCTCTCACTGTTTGTTATTATATATCGCTATGTATACACATGTATGTACATATGTGTATGCATATGCATATGTATATATGTACATGTATACGTACATGTTTTTCCAGCCCCGTACCACAACCACCGCATCAACCCATACCAAGCTCTTATCATCTTGATCCCAATCTTCTCCCTCCTCCCTCCTGTCTTTTCTTTCTTGTTGATTTCGCCTCTCTCTCTCTCTCTGTCTCTCTCTCCCTCCATGCTCGCTCCTTCATTCTTCAATCAACTTCCCTCCCTGCATTGTCCTCCCTCCGGCCTCGGTCGCGCTATCGTCGTCTCCTCACTGTTTCTCTCCTGCCTCCTTTACCCCTCGGTGCCCCTTCTTCTTCGCACGATATGCATTAGTTTGACGGTCTCGAGGCAGTGCAACCTAGACAAGGACATCGAGGACTTGCCATCCGAAGAGGAGGATATGAAGAAGAAGACCCTTGACGAACGCGACCTGATAGTGGGCAAGGTGTACCGCAGGCCTTTCAGTCTGTGACTGCAGCAGCAGAGAGGTCCAGAAGAGGAATTGGAACAGTACCCAGCCGTACTCTTTATGTACTGGGGTTGTCTCTTTTGGATGTTACATGGTCTTGTGAGCCATCCAATTGCCTGCGGCAAGGCCCGCCACCGTGCCAGCCCAGTGCTCTTGGAGACGAGTGTTCGAAGGGCGACAGGAGGCTGCAACATGTGAATATGAGGATAAAGAGGAAGCGGAGGAAGGCCGTCACATGCCGAGCATTTTCTGTGGATGGAGGGCAGAGGGTGAAATCTGAAATGCCGTCGTGAGGAGCTCGCGTGTGGCTCATCTGTGCCGTCGGAGTGCTGTCTTGGCCTCCTGTGGGGCAGTCCTGGGGGTCTGCTGAGGCCCTCTTCGGGCCCCATCGGGTCGTCTTGGGGCTCTCTTGGGCCATCTTGGGGCCATCTTGGCCGTCTAAGGGGTCTCTCTGGACCGTCGTGGGGCCGTTCTGAAGCCGTCTGGAGCCGCCGAGGGGCCTTCTGAGGGCCGCCTTGCTGCCATCCGGATGTCCTTACTTGGGTCACTCTTGGGGCCGTCTTGGGCTGTCCGGGGACCTCCCAGAGGCTGCACTTGGGGATTATTGGGGAGTTTCGGGCCCTTTTGGGCGGTCTTAGGGCCATCTTCGAGGCCTTTAGGGTCGTCCCGAGCTGAAGGAAGTCCGACAAGGTGGTGACGCCACGGTCTGTCCAAAACCTCGGGGAAATCAGTAGGTGGTTCTTAGGGCCGTACTCTTGGTCTTCGTGTGGGTCTCTTGGGCCGTCATGGTGTCTCCTGGGTTGTCTTGCGACTATCGTGGGCCGCCTTTGAGCTATCGTTGGGCCGTCAGTGAGGCATCTTGTGTCATCTTGGTTGCCTTGGATTCCTGGAGCCCGGATCCATCGTTGTTGTTTGAAAGATCTTGGCCTTGGGAGCGCGGCTGAGTAGTTTGTTTTGTCATAAGGGATTGTGGCCTCGGGTACGCGGATCAGTTCTCCCCAGCCTTTTTGCGTTGGGTTCTGGTTTTGACTAAGAGCACAGCTGTCCCGTCTCTTCCTCCTTATCATCCTTCTCTTCCTCTTCCTTCTTCTCCAACATTATCCTGCCTCCTTTCTCCTTGCCTCCCTTCCTCCTACCGTTCCCACTGGGGGCTGCGAACTGCGCCACTGTCGCCACTGTCGTGCGCTCGTGGAACTGCTCCCCCGGAGGCTGCCAACTGCGCAACTCTCGCCACTTTCGTGGGCTCCTGGATGAGGTCCAGCGGAGGCGGTAGGCGGACGAGATCTCGCTGCTCCCGGGGGAAGGCTGCGAACTCTGTCATTGTCGCCACTTTCGTGGGCTCTGCGGAGGCGGTAGTCAGGAGACGCCACCTTCGCGACTCTCGCCACGCTCGTGGGTTCATCGGATGTTCAGCGGAGTAGATTTTCACCCGGATCCGGGCGAGGCTTCGCGGCTCCCTCGGGTTGCGGCCATCTCGGAACTGTCGATTCGGCCAGGCGGCTCACAGCGGCGGCCCATTGAACCCGCGGGAATCTGAGCAGCGACACCTTTCTCCCAACCTTCTTTGTCCCGCGTAGAGGAGGGGTTGGGTACGTGTGTGTCGGGTAAGGGTACGAAGGATCGTTGCCTCAGGAGGTCGAATCCACGTTCTGTTTCCCCATCCTCCTGTGTTGGGTTCTCGCTTCTTGCTCTCCACCTGTTCCTCCTTCCTCCCCCTCCGCCTCCTCCTCCGCCTCCTCCTCCTCCTTCTCCTCCCCCTCCTCCTCCTAGTCGGCGTTGGAGGCTCAGGCACTTGGAGCCCCGACCGAGGGATGATTTTCATTGAAACTCACTCACACGACTTCCGCCCCACACTTTAACGGGCCAGCTTGGGAGCAGGGGGGGATGAAGGACGGATGTCGATTGCTTGGTTCTCGATTTGTGCATTGATGGAGATGGTCTTTTGCAACCCGCTAGCGGCGAGTACCACGAACCGTCTGGATGAAATCAGCAGTGCATTACGGGATTGGGATGTAGTTCTGTAAACTGGGGCGCATCAGTGGGAAGGGCCAGAACTGATGAAGAAAACCAGCCATAGATACCATGTGGCGCTGCAGTTTGGGGCGCGAAAGGGGGAACCGGCTTCTAAGGCACGCGGGACGACTTTCATGGTGTCCCACGAACTGATGAAGGACAAAGCGCTCCACGCGCAGTACACCCCACCTGCTCAACTGCAAGGAAGAACAGCGGGAGTGCGATTGCGTACCAAGGCTTACCATGCCACTTTCTGGGGAAGTCCGGATGCGCAAATCCTGGAGAAAACGCTAGATGAAGGACCCCCCCCCTCCCCCCCTTCCCCGGCAGAGCCACCCCGGCGACCCCCCAAGCAGAGCCGCTGAAGCTCTTGCTTAGGCTCAGAGCTCAAGCTCTTGCTGAAGCTCCTTGTAGTTCACTTGCCACGCACTTGCCACCTGCGACGAGGTGCGCTAATCACGGGACGATTTCCCCAAAAAAACCATGAAATGGGTGGAAGAGAGGTGTGATGAGACCGGTGGCAGATCTACGATCATAGTGGGGGGAGACATCAACAGTCAGTTGGAATTGTGCAGGACGGAAGACATGGATTTGGTGGTCAGCAGGCATTTTTCGGCCAAGCGTGGCAGCATCATCGGGACCAGTTGCGAGAGAGATGGAAAACGACAGCCGCGCACCATGCAGGAATTGTTGTGCACACAGCCTGTTCTCAGTTGTCACGACTTTCCACGAGTGCGGGCCATTTTCTACTGTGTCAATGACGACAAGGTACGCGCGAGCAAGATTGACCATCTTGCAATGCCGACTGGGGCCCTGCCGCGCGCGCGACGATGCGCAGCCCTGCGGGGAGTCGCCAAACAGCTCCAACTTCCGAGGCGAAAGGACACAGAGACCAGATTCCATTGGGTGTAAACATTGGGTTGGGACATCACTTTCATGTCATGAGCGGGTCCAGGCAGCAGAGGGCAGACAAATATGTGCACCGCAACATGCTGATGGAGTGCTTGAGCAAAGGGCGTCTGCGAGCAGAGTTTCTGGGAGCACTTGGCCGTCGCCTGAGGGCCGCGGCCGACCCGGAGCCAGGAGGAGCACTGGCGTGGGCGTTTCGGAGTGCGACCCAGGCGGACAGCACGGCGCCGCCCCCGCGGCTGCAACAGGCGAGTTCGGCGTGACTGTCGCTAGCGGGGGAAGCTCGGAGGGGGGGCCCTGGTGAGCGAGCCGAGGCGGCTGGCCTGCAGCCTGGAGGAGCACTAGCGGGGGCATCTCGGAGTGCGACCCGGGCTGGCGGCGCGGCGCTGCCCCCGCAGCCGCCACGGGCGAGCTCGCAGGGACCGCCACTAGCGGACGAATTTCGGAGTGCGGACCCTGACGAGCGAACGGCGGAAGAGGAATGGAGGGGGCTCCAAGACCGCCCCGCAGCACACCAGGTGTTCGAGAGATGGAGTGAGGCTGGTAGAAAAGCGATGAGGGATATCTTCCCAGTCAAGAAAAGAAAGGAGGACCCTGGAGTGGCGACCTTTCAGGAATTGCTGCGATCTTTATTGGCAGAGCGGATGCAATCGCGAGTGGGCATGGTCGACTCGGAGACGAAGGAGAGGCTGGAGGAGATCCAATAACAGCTGGCGCATATACAGAATGTGTTTTCGAAGCAAAGGAACGACCTGGAGATCGCCAGAACAAAAACATATCACACACTTATAAAGACACAGCGCACATGCGGGATATTTGGCCGGCGCGCGAGTGCCACGACCTCAGCGACGCGCGCGGAGCGCGCATCGAGTGCCAGCGGAATGGGAGAGGGCCAAAGAAGAAACGCCATTTTTCGGCGCGCGCCTGGTGGGACACAGAGGAGTCGTGTGAGGAGTGGGGCGGCATCCCCGCGATGGGGGCCCGGGCTGCGGCACCGCTGGACCTAGAGGAGTACGAGCAGGAGCACGATGGATTTGTAGCCGAGAAATGCCGCTACCACTGGATGGAGATTTGAGAGCGCAGGTGGAAAAGGGGCAAATGGACATGTGAAAGTGCTGGAAGAAAGCTGCAACATAGACGGATTCTTCCCCTCGGGGCGTCCCAGTGGAACTTACCTGGATGAAATTGGACCCCGCGGCCAACCTGGAGGGCCCAGAGCTGCGGGGCAGGAAGTTGGGGGATCGGAGGATTCGGGCCGCGGAGCAACGCGAGGACGAGGAGGATGCGGCCAAAGGCAGCTCCCTCCACAAGTGCAAAGTTGGCAGGGCGATACTGCAGCGGACGGGGTGGGGGGCAGGCAGCGCGTCGGGGCGGGCAGGGCGAGCTGGCGATGGAGGGGCGCTGCGAGCGTGCAAGAGGCAAGCGTGCCAACTAGGGGGGCATGAAAAAGGATCGACTGGGGTCGCCAGCGATGGAGGCATATGCAAGTCTGCAGCGCAGGAACAAGCTGGAGGACATCCTTATTGAGTGTAGCCGGTCTCAGGCCGCGCCGATGGACTGCCACAGGTCGATCTTTTTTTCCGCGGAGAAAGGCAATCACAAACAAGGCATTGGGGGCAAAAGAGTCACGCACGCGCGTGGCTCAATGGGAATGGCTGTTCGCAAGAGGACCTGTCGCAGAGGGCAAGCGCCGTGCCGCCCTGGATGGGCGCAAGTCGGAATAGGTCATGGTCCAGCGCGATAGCCCGCGTCGAAGCTACGCACTGGAGAGCGAGACAAGCAGAGATCAGCGCCAGCGCCTTCGCGAGCGCGAAGCGCAACCTCCTGCTGGCCCCAGCCTTCGCCGCGTCGAAGGGGGGGGGGCGGTAGCCTTCTGCAATCGAGGCGATAAGCTATGCGGCGGTGGGCGGGGAATGCGCTGGCGACTGGGTCCACGCTCTGACCGCCCAGGGCGCGCAGATGGGATTTACTCTGCGCCCGCGACAGTTCAATGATGATTGCAATATCTACGTGGGGCAATGGCGGCAAGAAGAGAGGGGGGATGACGAGATGCAAACGGCGCGCG